AAAAATGGCACCAGAAAGGAAGGCTGTTAAACCATGTCGAGTGCACAGCCACCAGAAATTAGTGGTGTTGCCTGGAGACAACCATTGATTTGAACTTGGGGGGTCAACTATTGAGGTACAAAGGGTGGCCTGACTAGTGGCCTGACCTACACAGGTGCCCTGTCCAGTCACCCGTGTGAAGGTAAGGGCGGCCGGTGTCTGTGGCCAGGGTGTCGAGGGTGTGGAGGAAGAGAGAACAACGGAAGCATTAACTCTGATAGCCTCGTAGAATAGCAAAGCCAGCAAGAAGTGGTTAGGTTGGGGGAGGTTTTATTGAGTGCCCGAAAGCAGCCTGAATCTTATGAAGAAGGGGGTCAGAAAGGGTTGCTGAAGGGATTGGAGAAGGAGTGCTGAGAGGTTGTGGGGGCCTGTCAGAGAAAGAGGGGATGTTTGTGTTAAAGGGTAGGGGCTGCCATGTTGTTAAGGTGGACCGAGGTGGTTGCGTTGTTAAGGTGGCAGCGTGGCGGCTGCGCCATCGGGCAAGGGTTGGAAGGGAGGTGAAACAGAGAAGATGGAAAGGCAGAGGAGGGCTAAGTAGAAATGGGACATCGCGTAATTTGAGGGGTTTTGTAGGTTCAGAAAGGCATTGAAAATCAGAGGTATGGGAAGGATTTAGAGCCAAGACAGAAGGGCCTGAGGCGGATCTGGAGATAGGAGTACAGAGGATGACTGGGAAGGGTCCCTGCCAAACGGGGCAAGGGGCAGTCAGTCCCTGTCAGCAGGGGGTGCCCTGTAAAACACAAGTTGGCCTGGGTGGAGTGAGGTTACGCTGGGGGTGTGTGAGGGATCTGGTAAGAGCCAGTCTTGGTACTTCCAGAGTTCATTACAGACATGGGAGAGAAGTGGGACAACAGCATCTGAGGGGAGGCAGGATTGAGTTTGGACACCAGGTGGGATCAGGGGGCGACCATACATGAGCTCGAAGGGAGAGAGAGGTAGGTCTTTTAGGCATGGCTCTCAGGCGAAGTAAGGCGAGAGGCAGCAAGTGCACCCAGTCGAGGTGTAGCTCAAGGGAAAGCTTGGTGAGAGTCTCTTTAATACACCTATTGGCCCTTTCAACTTTTCCTGAAGCCTGAGGGCGGTATGGGCAGCGAAAATGCCAGGGCATGGGCAGAGGCAGAAAGGGAGCGGATAGTCTGGGAAATGAACTCAGGGCCATTGTCGGACTGTAATGAAGTGGGTAATCCGGGTTTAGATTTGAGCGGAGTGTTGGGGTTGGTGCGTTGGCGAGTAAGACAAGAATGTGAGAGTGTGGACAAGACCTTCTTGTCCTCTGGAGTCGGAGAAAAGAAGGCGGAGAGGAAATGAGTTAGGGAGTGTGGGGAAGTATGAAAAAGGTCATGAAGAAGGGTGAGGAATTGTGAGCGGTAATTGACAGTATCGGCTGGGGACAAATCCACAGACTGGGGCTGTGACAGACCCACAGGTTGAGACTGTTGAACCAGAATGTGTGGGGAATCGCTTGAGAGGAGGAGGCGGAGTCATACAGGGCACATAGCGCCGCCTGTCGAGCGGTAAGGTCGGCTAGCTTATTACCCCGAGAAATGGGCGAGTGGTCAGGCTGTTGAGCCCAGCAGTGAGACACGCCCAGTGAGGAAGGCAGCTTAGCTGCCTCCAGTCAAGTCGGTGATAAAGGAAGCATTTGACACTGAACATCCCCAGGTAGTCAACAGACCGTGTTCCTTCTATGTTGCAGCATGGGAAAGCAAGATGTAAAAGACATATTTGGAGTCTTTATACAGAGATAGGCGCTGCCCTTGAGCCAATATGCAGGCCCGTGTAACAGCGATAAGTTCAGCCTGCTGATTGGTGGTGCCGGCAGGCAGAGGACGCGCCTCAGTGACCTCTGAGTGAGAGACCACAGCATATCCGGCCACAGGAATATTGTCCCGTCAGAATGAGGACCATCAGTAAACCATACAAGATGGGGATCTAGAAGGGGACTCTCAGAGATGTTAGAGGGACAGGGTAGTAGGGTATCCAGGGTCTAGACAGGTATGGGACGGAGAATCTGAACCCGCGGAAGTAGGTGGTAGTAGGGTGGCTGGATTGAGAGGAGGACAGGTGGAGAAGGTGATCTCCGGATATAAGAGGAAGGACGTCAGGAGGTCAAGGATTCTGGAGGGAGATAGAGTATGGAGGCCTTTATAAGCGACCAGGTCTCTAAGTCGATGTGAGGAGAGGACAGTAATTGGGGCACCAAAAGTGAGTTTATGTGTCTCTTTATGGAGTAGCTGTGTGGCAGTAAGAACCCAAAGACAGGGGGCCCATCCCAGAACGGTTGGATCAAGCTGTTTAGAGAGATACGGAACCGGCGCAAAAGTAGGCCCATAAGTCTGACCTAAGGTCTGCCCAGAGGCTTCATGAACATAAAGAGAGAAGGGACGACTGAGGTCCGGGAGTTGGAGGGCCGGCGCCTCGAGTAGAGCCTGCTGTAGTTGGTGAAAAGCATGGGCCGGCGAGGAGGACAGGGGTTCCTCCACGGGTCCCTTAGTTAGGTCATATAAGGGTTTGGCCAACAGGGAGTAGCAGGGAACCCAAGCCCGAAAATACCCTGCCAACCCAAGGAAGGACAGGATGCTGGCCTTTGAAATTGGAATGGGGAGGTCCCGGAGAGCTTGTTCCCGATCCACTGTGATTGCCTTATATTGTGGGGTTATTTGGAAACCCAGGTAAGTGACTGAGGCGACTGAGATTTTAGCTTTGGTAGGGGAGACCCGATAGCCCCTGACCACCAAGAGATTTAGGAGAGCTGCTGTATCCTGCTGGGAACAATCAAAAGATGGACTGCACAGAAGGAGGTCATCAACATACTGCAAAAGTGTAGAAAAAGGGTGATCAGGACGGAAAGACAGGAGGTCCTGTGCTAGGGCCTGCCCAAAAAGGTGAGGGCTGTCCCGAAAGCCCTGAGGGAGGACAGTCCACGTGAGTTGTTGAGAATCACGGGACTGGGGGTCAGTCCACGTAAAGGCGAAAATGTCCTGAGAGGAGGTGTCTAATGGAATAGAGGAGAAGGCATCCTTAAGATCTAGGACTGTGAAATGGGTGGAATCAGAGGGAATAGAGGAAAGAAGGGTGTAGGAGTTTGGAACCAGAGGATGAATAGGCACCACGGCAGTGTTAATGAGGCGTAGGTCCTGAACTAGGTGATAGGCACCAGAAGGTTTCTTAACTGCCAGTATAGGAGTATTGAAAGGAAAGTGAGTGGGGATCAGATGTCCCTTAGCAAGGAGATCCTGGATTATAGGGAGAAGGCCTAAGAGAGTCTGAGTAGATAATGGATATTGGGACTGACTGACATATTTATGAGGATCACGAAGCTTGATGTGTACTGGGGTGCAAGAGGACTTGGCCGGGGAAGAGATATCCCAGACCTCTGGGTTGATGGGATAGGAGAGTGAGGGAATGAAGGGTGTCGAGGAGTCGGCAGGAAGAAGGGCCAGGAGGAAGGGAATCTGAGGGTCTGAGGTATGGTTGGCTGGGGAGATGGTAATAGAAGTTCTGAGTTTAGATAGGATGTCTCAGCCTAAAAGGGGAACTGGACACTGAGGCATCACCAAAAAGGAATGTAAAAAAGAGAATGGAGAATCCGAAAATAGACATGTAAGCGCAGGTGTGCGCATAGAAGAAAGTAAAGTGTCTCCTACCCTGACTATAGGAGAGCTAGATGGTAGCCTTGATTCAGGGTAGGCCTGGGCAAGAAAATAAGTCATGAGAACAGTTTGGCCTTCTGGAGACTCGGGGTCTAGGTTAGTATACTGACAAAGGGCCTGAGTGAGGCGCTCGAGGTATTCAGTAGGAGTTTCATCTTTTCTCTGAATAATGTCTTGGACCTTTTGAAAGTTAGTGACCTTGCACACCGCCATAAAGGAGAAAAGAATTCCAGGCCGGAGGGGAGTAACCGGGGGGTGATAAGGCGTCCAGCGTCCAGCATCCAGTGCTGGAGAGTAAGTGAGAGGAGAAAAGAATTCCAATGAAAGGAAAATTCAGGAGAGGTAGGCAAAAGGTGTCACAGGAGGGGGTTTATGACCATAGGGAGGAGGTTTGTCACGATGAAAGAGGTAGTAGGTGGTTCAGACGGTGGGGGAGGCAAAGTCAGAAGAGGGTTTGGAAGTTGGGGAAAGCAAAGGGAGGGGTTATGAGAAAGAAGGCGGAAAGCTTCCACATGAGGGACCTCCTTCCACCCTATGAGGAGCTGGCAGTAGTTGAAAAGATCATCAATCATTGGAGTTTGAAGTGAGCCCTCAGGGGGGCCACTGGGGGTGATTGTCTAATGGGTATTGAGGCCAATCCTGGCTGTAATAGCTGATAAGAGTCTTGGGTTTAATGTCAGGAGTCAGTGAAAGTGTGGAGAGATGTTTTAAAAGGCACTTTAATGGGGTGTCTTGAGGAGTTGAC